AGAAAGAAAGAAAGAATACAAGCGATGCGAAAATGAAAATAATAATAATAATTAAATAAAAAAAGAAAATAAAAAGAAAGCAAGGAAGAAGAGAGAAATAAATTGTTCTTATAAACAAAAAATATCGCGGCGATCGCGGGCGCGCATTAAACACACATTAGAGAACACGTAAATACAGACAGACATTATTTACTTACATACATACATACATACATACATGAATACATAATATTTATGTACGTATACATAAATACGTGAGAATACCTGCATGCGCATATCCCTCTTTTTCGAGAAAAATAAATAAAAATAAAATAAAAAATATAATCGCGCGCTGACGGCGATCGCATTCTAGTGCCAAATAAGAGTTAATAAGATCTTATTAAGAAAACGCGTAATAATAATAATTATTTAAATAAATAAATAAAAAAGAAGAAGAAAAAGAAGAAGAAGAAGAAGAAGAATAGGCGGCGCGAGAAGAATAAACAAAAGAAAAAACAAACGTGCGTGAAAAGGGAAATAATAAAAAGAATAATTTAAAAATAAAAAAAAAAAAATAATAACAGAAGATGAAGATAAATAAATAAATAATTAATTAATTAAATAAATAAATAAATAAATAAATAAATAAATGAAAAGAGCAGAGATGAAAAAAAAAATAATAATAATAAAATAAAATATAATAAACGATGAAATTTTATAGGGAACTTTTTAGAGAAGACGAGTCTTTTCTGACGCTGGGTAGAATTAGTATATTTTATATGCACTGATTGTTTGATTATGACTATCAATAATAAAAGGAACGGTGTTCAATAGATTGTAATTTAAGAATTTTTAAGTCTCGCTGTGTACCGATGTCGTTTAGAGGCTTGATGCTTGGCGTGCGATTATTATTTTTTTGTTTTTTTACAAATTGAGAAACAAGATTTTTTTTTACACAAACGAAAAAGAAAAGCAAGAAATAATTTCTCTTCGTTTTTTTTCCTTTCTTTCTTTATTTTTATTCTGGATAAACGCACGCCGCGCATCCGTGCCTACCACCACCCTCATATATCTTTCTTTTTCTATTTTTATTTCTTTATCTCTATCCCTATTTCTATTGCTATCTCTATCTTTGTCTCTATTTTTATCTTTAACACACACGATACACGCCATACGTTCCATGCGCCAATTTTGAATGACCCGCCATTCTGTAACGAACGATATAAACGACGATAGGAAACAAAAAGTGAAAAGAAAACGAAAAATATTTGAAAACGTGTGCATCTCGAATAGCCACCTTGTTGTTACTTTTATGTTATTATTATTATTATTATTATTATTATTATTATTATTATTATTATTATTATTATTAATATTCTATTATATTATATTATATTAT